TCTGCGCATATGTTCAGAGCATCTATGTACCAAGTTTCATCAAAATCCAATGAGTAGTTCTTTAGATATCAGTGGAACAGTCATAGAACAGCTAAAAATTAGCTAATTATCATGCAAATTAGGTAATTAACGAGCATGGATTTTTACCAAAACCTAATCAAATCTGCGCATTGGCCCAGAGCATCTATGCATCAAGTTTCATCAAAAACCGATGTATGGTTCTTGAGATAGCAGTGGAACAGTCGGACACACATACACACACACACACATACACACACACACACATACACACATACACACACACATACAGACACACTAACTGCAAAGACTCCCATTTTGTGCTTCGCACATGGGAGTCAAAAATAGGGGTGTTTTAAGCAAAAACGAATAACCCTTGAGTGCACACAATACACTGAATTTCAGAACAAATCTTGCATTAGTTACAGCAGCAGAATATCACAGAAATATTAGACGAAACATGAAAACACTATATATTGTATTTTGGCCTGAGCCCTCTCTATTGCAATTCCAGGAATTAACCCCATATGTGCATCCATTTCCCACCTTGGTATCACCCAACCCTAAAAACAAATTATTAATACCACGCTGAAGCGTTTGGTAATAACGCATCCAGTTCCAAAAGGACAATAATTACTGTACACAGTTTTGGTCCTAACACAAAAGGAGCATACTGTGAACATACGCGAATGTCTACTGCATTTTAATTAACTTTAACCACTGATTTATTTTTATTCAGTTTGTGTCCAAATGTGATATAGTACACCAATGCTCATTGGCTTCTAAAAATATAAGTACATGTGATATAGTACACGAACGCTCATTGGCTTCTAAACAATATAACTATAGTGTGGATGGTCAGCAATAACTATGCATTGAACGCAAACGTTCGTGGTCCATGTGATGCATTCGTCATACCAATTTGACGTCCAGATCAATACGCACACAAATTGTATGACATCGATTACTCCTCATCATATGCAAATAACTTGAATGTAAGGGGTATTGATAACCAACGAGTGCCGGAAATACACAGAATTATGATTCACCTGACAGAATCGAGAAACAAACGTCAATTTCTACTTTCAATAATATACGTTAGTGAATACAGTATGTTGTTTCTAGTTTCCATGGTGAATGAACGTCGTTACGTCTAAAAATGGCGGACGTTGCTGTTGTTGAATATGCAGTCACAGACAGTTTTTTAATTGGGTTGTGTTCACACAGTGTTAAGTAATTAACCACGCGTCAATACATTTACTATCAATAATACATTTCTAAATATCTTTAGTTTGAAGCATGTTTGAAGCTTCGTGGCGCGCCACGAATGGCGACATGATTGCAATCTATTGTAACCCTTGACCGTATTAATAAACGGAATCGTGATCTGGGGAGCCTCAATTTGCGGTTTGGTGGATATCAATTTGTAATAAACCATCCGGTGTTCTTCATTGCCATGGGTTACCAAATAAACGTTAATTATATTTCAGTGCCTCGTAAGAATCGACGTGACGTCGTAATTCGAAACATTTAAATCAAGTAAACTGGAATAATAAAATCCAGCAATCATTCATTTGTGTGCAAAACTGAAATGATTCTTACATCTACCCGCTGACATATATAGCATCATCATTACGGCGAAATCATTACAACAATCGGGGGCAAGAAATATGGAGGACATTATGAAAAAGTGTGATATGTACTCTTCACAAATGAAAGATGGAGAAGATGAAGCTCACACTACAATTTGTTTAGTTAGCAAATTGAAAGTCGTCTATTTTAGGAGCTCCACCCCTTGATTTAAAGTGGACAATGTGAACTCACCAATTCAAAATAATCAAAAATATGTATTCACTCACGTAAGAAGTTGATTTTCTATCGAAACTTCTGCCATGCTTATCGGTGGAAGAGGACAAGCAATAATAGCCTATTTATTTAAAAAAAGATATAACTCCGTTTAAATCGTGAACCACGGGATGTACAATGTAATTAACAACTTGAAGTCACAATAAAGTAATAACGGGGTATCTTTTAAGGGATGTACAATGACCGTGGTTAACACATATACAACAGTACTAGTGTAGAACTGTAGTCAGTTATATGACTGCATAATGTTGAATGTTTAAAGAAATAATGGAATTCATATACCACCAAAAAAAATGTTAAATGTATATAATAGGTGACCTTGACAATGAATTGCTAATGTTCAGCTATGTTCATCATGCATGTTATAACGCAATTGATTATATACACATTTTGCATTTTGTAAATTGACAAACCACCAACACATTGTGAAATTTTAAAAGGAATCCACGAAAAACAAAACCACGCAGTTATTTACCCTTATACGACCAGAGTTCAGAGAATGACTACTTTACATAACCCATAATCACCCAGTGTACATATAAAGTGATAATAACATTATTAATGTGTTTTAATGAAATGATATGTAGATTAGATCGACTTTCCATTTTTTACTAAGTAAAATCATATTTATTAAAGTTATTTTTATACGAAAGTTGGTTTTTACATTATTGCAATTTCATTCAACTTCTTTCAGTCATAATTCTAAGCAAAAAAAAATGCGAAAATTTAGGGATTACAGCGAATTATATTTGTTTTCTGTAATATTCTTTTGTAATCGGTAGGAATGCAAACTATCATTGGTGTGCATATAAGAAATATTTCCTTATAAATTATTCTCAATATGTTTATGAATTTTCTTGTCAAAATCAGTTGTTTTCGAGCGTTGACCCCCAAATATGAAAGAAGTTAACAATGTCAAAAACGGAAAGTCTTTATCGTAGTTGCGACCAAACTATACTTTTGTTTACATATGTACTACCTTAAAAATATGCACGGCTTTCTAAATCATTTACTTTTAATATCAAAGTGAAAGAGTAATTTTAGTGTCCAATAAGCACATTGGTTAAATGGGTTAAACAATAAGAGTACGTACTTTCCAATGGCATAACCAAGGACAGAAAAGGTACCTGGATTAGACACAGTTTAAAAACATTTTCTTTGATATCATTCACGACTTCTCTTGGTATGTCAATTGTATTTAACCCATTGCAACTCGTACTATATCTTTGAAAATGTGCTGACATCCCGGACATGTTACCCGCTGTCTGATTGTATCATTTCAACAATATGGCCAACCAGGCCAGAATGCAAAGTACTGTTGTAATGATACTGACTGGACAGCTTCAAATGATTTAACTGTTCACTTTGAAATGACTGCACTTGTCAAACATAATTCTAAAGTCGACGACATTATTATGAGGTGATCATCATCTTCATCAAATCATTATGACTAGGAACCGTTCAATTCTAGATATATAATAATTACATTGATGACTTGCGTGATATAGTAATGTTGTGCCGTTCAGGTATTTTAGAACACTGGAGTCAGGTGACGGGGAGCAGCGTAAATGAATTTTATATAGAGTAATAACAATGCAGTAGTTAACCGTACATAGCGTGACTTCAATGGTCTTACTGTCGGCATGTCGAGCTGCAATAAACAGTTCATCGGATCCAATTATATGTTTGTCTTTTGTGCGGGGCTTCGGGGCCTTATCCGTATTGTCTACTATTAGATACTCCACGAGCAAACAAAACATCAGTTTATTCAGGAGCTCGCGGTATATTGATATACAACAAGAAAATGAACATGTTATTTGGGGGACATGCGTGTCTATCGTGATGAGAAAATTATGTTAGTAAGGTTTTGTTCAATAGAATTACTTTTCGTGGGAAATAAATAGACAAATTCTGAGAGGTCATGCAAGCGAGATATTGAAGCGATTCATAGAAACATGTAGATAATATGCTTTTCAAATTCATCGGCATCATTTCGGGTCTTGTGAATCTGCCGGACTGAGGTACGTAGTGCGTATGTGTGTGTATGTGACTGACGAGTTTCGACGCAGATATGTGTACTAAAACTATTAGCACCAAGTTTAGCAATGTCTCTATGCTGATGGTTGTTATGAAATGAATAGGTGTGGACAAGTGGGTACAAAGTTAAATTGTCAAATACTTCATGCTAGTCTCGCGAGAGATATTATTATATACGTTATCTCCTCATAGGGTGGGTAAAACACGCTGAATATATCATGTATTAATGATTAATTTTCCTTCAGCAACAGAAGTATTGTTAAAGCGGCTACGACTAACGTATAGAGCCTGCTAATATGTGGAAATGGAATGTATTTCTAGTTTTAATAACGTGTTTCAGACCAGCCCCAATATTGGGTTACGCGAAGGTGAGTATCTATAATCATATAAAACCCATTTTGAATAAATAGTCAATCTAAGTTGGCAATAATATTAACATTAAATATTATACAGTCAGTACAAAATTAGAATGGCTATGCGTGTATTACCATGACGATAATATGGAATCCAATGAGTGCTTATAGGGTTAACATTGTTATAGACTCTGATTTGTTAATTTGTTGTCTTGGCATAGAATGTAGAATGTCCCTAGGGGAATGCTTTGAGAATATATATATATAATTTAAAATAATTCGTAAAGTTGGCAATTCTCACGATAATATATGCGATTCAACTTTATTAAGAACATATAATTGACATGAACAATTATAAATTTACCGAGTAGAATATAGATAACGCTATGTGTAGAATACACGTTGGATATATTAGATATTAACTAGAGTACCGACATATATACATACATTGTACAGATAATCATTATGAATTTATTCTTAGAAACGATCAAATCAATTTTTCGACTTCCATAATAGGCCATACACACAATCACTACATCTGCTCACCACACTATCAATTTTGAGGATTGACAATGTATATCTGGTACCTGGGTGAATGCTGCATGCATTTTGAACATATGTAACGTATAATTATCATGTCAGTGACCGATTTCGACGTCTACTTTTTTTATAGAAATCCAATCCACACGGTAGTTATCCTAAAACCATGCTGCTTCCAGACAAACTCACTGGTTTAGAAAAGACACACCCACATCGTGTCACCAAGAGAGCAAGTATGCAATTAGTTATTTTTCTAATACATTGTTCCTTCAAATGTCGCTATTGATCGCGACTCTTCCAGATTGCCAATACTTTTCGATTATCGTTGCTATCCGTGCTTTTTTTCATGTTGCTTCATTATCAGCCTGTGGTCAGATTCTGACGAGTTCAACAGGGACGGTAACTTCACCGAATTATCCTAGCAATTACCCAAGTAACAGCAACTGTGTGACAACAATTCAAGCACCTACAAATAAAATTATAGAGATTACACTTACGGATGTGAAAATCGAGATAGAATCGTATACGTCTTCGGGTGATCCTGATCATCCAGCTGGAATAAGATGTCTCTGGGATTACGTAGAGGTTTGTGGTTGATATTGTAATTACGGAATATGTGTGTCTAACTACAATCATTTGGTATGTTATTTCACCCAATATAATATAATACAATACATGTTCGTGTATGTTATCGCATCAGTTAATTCGGATATGTACCATATGTGAATTAGTCAACGTGGTTTCGGACGGAATTGTTTAAATTGTGTGTACAACAAAAAAAAACAAATTTGCTGTTATAGAAGTAATATATACAGTAGTTCCCTCTCATCAGTACTTGAAACGAGAGTGAATGTATACATCATTTTTGAAGTATGTACATATTTTTGTCATCAGTTTGAGGACGTCGGCATTGCAAGAACCAAATACTGTGGAGAGTTTTCAGGAAGGGTATGGACGTCGTTCGACAGCAAGGTCAACGTTCTTTTCTTTTCTGACGATTCCGCCCAGTACAGGGGGTTTGCGGCAAGCTACACTTTCCTTGACAAACCAACAGGTACAGATTTTACTGAATCCACTATGATTATATCAATTGAGTTTTGTAGACTATCAGCCACTCTAGATATTCTACAGATTAACGTAGTATTGTGTACGTCACCATCGGAAAAACAACTCGAGATCGTAAAACTACAATTCATATAATTAGTATAATGACGTATGGGGTTTATTTCTGTGCGACAAGTGGTTGGTCCATGCTTGTATCTCAGTACACCCGTGCATCCTTTACTGCAAGCATCCAGTGTTCTTGATGCAGCCACACTTATATATGTATCTATATGTTTAATAGATCCACTGATGTTCGACTTCGGGGTGTCAACCGCTGATATTGAATTCCCACCAGCGGATGATGGGAGCGTCGTATTGAATGGAATATCCTATACATTCTTCGGTACATCACACAGTCAACTCTGGGTAGGTCATGATATGTACTTTGCTAATGGGAAATATAATATATCATTGCTCGGAGTGGTTGGATCACCTGTGTTGATTTTTGTTTTCACGACGCCGGTAACACGTATTTTAACTGTTTATTGTGATAAGTTGTGGACACTGCGCGTACTTTGTGTTTTGCAATCAATATCACTTTTGTTCATATTGACAACTGTATTTAGTTTGTAGTCTTTCATTTTCTTGAGTATAGTAAAATCTTTCAACAAAATAATCTTCATTAAATATGTACTCGACTACTATAAATCAAAGGCTCTGATTTGCCTTCGTTTCACTACTTACGCTAATGAAGCGCTTTGTCACTACGAGCGAGATTTATAAGACAGGTGCATTTAAAGGTGCTTGTTTTCTTTCAGGTAAACACAAATGGAGTCTTATCATTCGATGACGAAGAGTTGTCGTACAGTCCGCTACCTATTCCCCACGGAACAAACCATTTACTTGCACCATATTGGGCTGATGTTGACGTGCGCAGTGGAGGGCAGCTGTTTTACCGACAGACAACGGATACGGCCACTCTGGACAAAGCAGACACAATTATATCGTCGGCCTTCGGAATTAATTTCCAGTCGACATCAGCCATAGTTATCACGTGGTATGACGTTGCATTCTTTGCAACATCTGCAATAGGGCAGAAATCGGTAAGAGACATACGATCCCAGCTCCATCAATGTGTGCGACACACTGACTAATATTTATTAAATTGGGGAGGGGGTCGTTGATGAGGCAATGGAACATAAATTGATAAGTGACATCCACACAAAGTACAATATTTATTTATGTCGATAATAGTATTTGGTGCGAGAAATTTATTTGCAAAATCTAAATTACAGTTTTTTGGCCTTGGTCGGTTTTAAACACCACCACCCAACATTCAGTACTACTTGCGACGTTGTTAGCAGCATTATAAACAATCGCGATCAAAATATAACAAAACTGAACATATAAATGTATCGCCGCTGGCATAAAAGCCCGTAACTGAAACTAAGATAAGCGAACAAAACTGTGTGAATCAATCTATTATTTTGAACAAAAATGTTACACCATACTATTTTACTTTTCTTCACTTTAACGACGTATTTTGGGTTATATTTCTATAGCGTAATACGTTTCAAGCTGTTTTAGTGACTGATAGCAACGGATGTGGCCACGTCATCTTCAATTACGCTGACATCACGTGGACTACGGGAGCCTCAGTCGATGCAGGAGGTGATGTTAACACTGGACTTGGTGGCATTGCAGCTCAGGTTTGCACAGCTTAAGTTCACAAATACATTAAATAAAAAAACCATATATACGAATAACGCCAAATGTCTTGTCAACATTAGTATTTAAATTATTTTAATTACGTTTAGTACAGAACTTTCAACAAAATGGCCGACACAGTGTTGTCGATCATCATATAAGCTAACGCAGAGAATGATAATTAATTAAATAAACATAATGAGACTAAAAAAACAGAGCTTCAGATCGCAGGATTCAATCAAATATTATTTTTTCCTCATATAGGAGTTTTATGCCACGGAAGTCTACTTTTTTATAAATTATCATTGGGGTCACATTGACTAACAGTATAAAACCAGATGCTTGGTTTGCAAAAGTCAATTTACATGTACTGCATATCGTACTAAATATGTATGCTATATTGTTTATAGCATGAACGCCGATTACCGTTAGTTTACACTATTGCGATTAAGATATATAGTTATTTTTGAAATCATCACTATGCGGTTTGGGGATTGCATTGGTGACATAATTACTAATTTTAAAGTCAATCAAAACTTTGACTATTTCACAATTCGCGACGAATTATCACTAGACGGGGGTAGAACAAATGTACGTGCGCAGAGAAATTTAGGTTGAGAGAATTTAAAATGACGTCTTACATATGCGCGGTTTTAAATCACATATGCGTTTTAACCGACATCTGAAACTACCGGAAATTCGAGTCAATATAATTAAACATAATAGTTCAAGAAATATTGAGAAAATATCAGAAAATATACCAATATCTTGATCATGATTTGTGAAGAACTTGTAAGAACAGAAAATGTATTTGGACATTAAGATATACAATTCGTTCCAATGATGAACTTTTTTTCGGATTTGACAGAGTACTATTATGCCTAACTAAAAGCATTTGTCTATGGGGAAGTTACATACCTCTAAATCACGATGGTATATTTTATAATAATTCCACAATGTTTATGATATTCTTAGGTCGGTTTCGATGCTGGCGATGGAGTTCGATTTTTTGTACACCCGGATTCACGGACCAGTAACATAAAAGACATCGATGCTACTTCAAATATTGGTGTGGTTGGTAGATGGGTCTTTAATGTGTGCAATCAGGGTATGTATACATATAAGGTTATATTATACACACTCTAATATACAAATAATCACGTTGTTATTTTGTCGCACTTTTCGTAGTTGTTTTTTATGAAATGTGCACACAGAGAATTATACTACAACACGTTTTAACAAATTAATCTATCCCACATACATGTACAATACACAATATTCATACCATTACCTGGATTTCGTATCTGTGTAATGTGGTCGCAGAATGATGTAACCGTATACCTTGAAAACTAAAAAAAATAGAATGCGGTGCTAAAAGTCGAGATTCGCCACTCGCCAGATACTCATTGAGTAAGAATATTTCGACCAAAATCATAACTCCTGACGTCAAAATCAACTCGTATGTTAAAATCATGCAAAACTGTTCGGCTTTAACAGACATTGGAGAATGTTCCTCGGCAAATGGTGGGTGTGACCAGATATGCCACCAAGACTCCAATGGAGGATTCATCAGCTGTTCATGTAACGCAGGATACACACTAAACTTGGACGGACAAACGTGCGACGGTGAGTATTAATAATTCCCAATAATTCTCGATCATTCTAACAAGAAACACCAAAATTAGTCATATATGCACTGTTAACAACGCAGTGTGCTATCCTGGTCATTTTTCAGAACGTACATTTACTTGTACAATTCAAAGAAAAGTCGAAATATAATAACTGGGAAATAATCATATTTTTAAAAATGCATTGCTGATCTGTGCCACATATGGTTCAAATGTTTTATATTACACCTGTCAAACAACTAGTTTGTTTTTAAATCGGAATTTATTCTGAATAAGTAATCTTTAAATCAGAAATTGAATGCTCTGAATATGCAGAATACACAATAAAGTAGGTATTATTTATTCTAAGCGTTGGGATACCGTGTCTGTTCGCCAATCTATTTATAATGTCTTATTACAGAAATCAATCCGTGTGTTGACAATAATGGCGGATGTAGCCAAGTGTGTACACATACTGGACCTGGTGAATCCACATGTTCTTGTAATCCAGAGTATACAATTGATGTGGATGGAGTGACATGCATCGGTGAGTAGGTTCAGCAATTACGACGCCTCATGGAATGCATGCCCGCGTAACCATTTTAAATGACTGTCGACGTGCCATTGTTTGAGTTATAAGGTATGATGTACAATATGTGAAGTATAAATATCATACCCAACTATAGATCATTAAACAAACGTCGCGTTGGGCAAATAAAAGCTCAAGAACACAAAACATAAAACAAACCTTGAGTATACAACCAATGGGTGACGTCAGGTGTTTCCAAAGGAATGAGTCGTGCTCAACATAAGACACCCACTGGCTTTCCGTTGTATGTTTTTTTGATGTTATTCACATTCACTGTTACATTTGTACTGAGACCAAGTTTATTTGTAGATATGAAGATAGTAGATCAGCTTTGTTACGGGTAGAGTAGACTAACCCGACTATTATATTATTACCTCTATCAACAACTCTTTGCTTGAAATGTGATACAGATACGAGCATTTCGTTGAGTCAAGGCAATACTGATCATTGTGGCCTTCAATTGTGTATCATATTATTTCTACGTCATCTACATCATGTTTATCTCACAATAAATGGTGCATTCATATCACGATTTACTTCTTTTTGCATAACATATATGTACATCTTTAAGATACAGCAGCGCAAGAAATAGGTACGTCCAAGGACAGTAGAACCAGTGCGACAATTACGTTTGTGCTCCATAAAGTGTAGACTCAATAAATGCACTAAGATTAAAACATTAATTTTCCTTTAATATAACATACCCTATCCACTATCATAGTACTAACACTAATGTTGATTTATTTTAATTTAATTTAAGTATTACTTTAATTTAATTATTAAATATAATATATATATATATATATATAAATGGGCGAATTATATATTTGTTAATACGGCGACCACCTTATCATTATAGAACAATACAAATGTTCTATTATTTTAATGTGACAAAACACATACTAGTTGGACGACTGTCTAGATACGATCAAATGTGTTTAGCCATAATGGTTCGTTAATTGTGTGATGATACCGGGATTCTGTAGCATTTTATAGCTCTAGAGGTGGCCAGGTTCATAGTCATATTCACTGTTAAAGTTGCACTAAATGTAACACGTGAGAATGTTGGTATATGGCAAACATGTATATAAAATAAAATCAGCCTACTTATAGGGTCAAGTCACCCTAGCATGGTATTTTTATTCAAACGAACAGCATGAGCGTCATAAAAATCGATACATGAATATATATTTCACCATGTGCCATATATTAACACCTCACGCGATATTAAAAACAATTAAATTAGTCGGTAGTAGATATGATTTTTATTCATGTGACGGGTCGTTACTTACTATACATAATTCACAGAAATAAATGGCTGCGTGGATAACAATGGTGGATGTGAAGTAATCTGTATTGACCTAGGCCAGGGAAATGTGGCTTGCGATTGTTCACGCGGATACGAACTAAATACTGATGGCATTACCTGTCAACGTACGTATTACAAGTTTAAACGAATATTCTGTTGCCATTTTTGGTGAATGTGTTGGTTCAGGCATCGGTATATATATATTGAATTTAAATTTGTTTAATCTTTATTTATTTGAACATTGGGAAAACAAGAACCAACATTTGATCGTCAATTATTATCATGTTTTGTAAATCGTAATATATTGCTTATTTTTTGTTGTTTCTTTGCGTAGGCTCAAAAGACATGAGCACTCACTCATTGCAACTTTCAAGCATTTTAAATAAAATAACTATAGATAAATAACACATAATGCAATATATTATCAATTTCCCATTCATGTTTCAGGCTACAGAAACTTGTTCAAAGTTTTGATGCACTACTTAAATCGTACTAACAACTACACACATAAACTTATTGGGATTAAAATTCATTGTATTTCAGAATCGACGTTTATTGATAGTGTGAGATTGTGTCGCAAATTCTCAATTCACGAGAATGAATTGACATGGTCAGACTCGAGGACGGCGTGCGAAGATGCGAATAAGAAGTTACTGAGTATTCAAACATCCTCACAGAATATGTTCATTGCTTCATGGCTTGATACTCACTCAAGTTCAACTCAGAGCTTTTGGTTCGGGCTAAACAGGTTTGACGATCTTTCTCAGTGGGGGTATGAAGATGGTCCGCTTTGTTATAGTAACTGGAAAGACAGTACCCAAGAAACATCGACAGAAAATTGCGCACAATTCTGGTAAGTTGAAATGTGTCTGAAAGAAAGAAACGTATGTTATTGTAATAATGACACTTTATAAATGTATTCTAAACAAGTGAATAACAAGTGAAACTCATTCAAACATGAAAAAGATGAATATGATAATAATAAATTGTTGTTTCAATGTTAGGTCTGTGAGTGAGTCAACTTGGACATCTGAGTCATGTGATGAGCAGAAAGGATACATATGTGAATATTAATTAAGGTAGGTAACTCAAATGGAGTATATGATAATTTGCACTCTAATACTACAACCTATATGTCATAAATTGTTGAGATAAAGTTGCATTTTAACAAATATTTGTAGATTATTCAGAAATGACGGAAAGTGCATATGATTGTGTATACTAAAAACATTCATAATCGAAATATGCATGTATGTTCTTAGCTAGTGATAAGATGTCTTCTGTATATTATATTTTTCAGAGGAAAGAAGACGCTCTGATAGTTTAGTATCCATAGCTTTGGTCATCACTTGAAGTACCGTTGATGGATCTTTTATATAATTTAACTTGATTTGTGATTATACAAATGTATTTTTTCTCAGAAGAATATATAAATTAGATGATAAACTACTTATTAAACAAGTCGTTGTAAAGTGTTTGAAGTAGAAAATCAGTTTTAATAAACATGAATGCAAACACGCTTTTGATGTAAATTATTCTGTTTTATTTTTCTATAACCTTTCCTATAACCATCAAATTATCGGGGAGCAGCACTGAGACATGTACAATATAGTCACATGATGAGACCAACGTGAAAGCATCGTGAGTTTTCCTGACTGGCCATGTGTCCACTAAGAGCTGATATGATATATCTACCACTAATCACTGTAAATAATACCAGAAATATATTCTGTGCAAATGTGTAATTAGAAAGTAGGGTTTCTTTATAATATTGGGATCCGGGAGTAGAATATTGAGTTAACGCATTTCCTGTGGATTATATAGATTTGGCACCATCTTGTACTGCACTGCAACCGGTAGCTTTAATCGATTCAGTGTCAAAAGGTTTTTTTTTATTCTCAATGTGGTAACAGTTCAGAGACTTATTTTGTTTTTAAATGTACCAATAGAAAAATAATTAACAAATTAAATATATCTTTCACATAAATAATGCAATACAGTGAGAGGTCATGTAATCCTCGTTTGATCAGTAACACATACATATGCCTAGTATGCACCATAATGACCATCTTTTACGACGCTTCATGGTCAATCAGATATTTTAGCTTTTCCATTTGGGTTGAAAACTGCACCAGGGTTATTTACAAAAAGTAAAGGAGTTGAAAACTACAGCAGTAATATTTACAAACCATGAATGGAGGTATTACAACAACAACAATACACTGCAATGAGATACACTGTACTGTTATTCGGGTAGTTATTTCACTATACAAACGCTCACATGAATCAATGAATATTACGTTTTTACGAGGATACTGCAAAGTATGCACGAAGACAGTACAGATGGAGTATCAACCGACCCGCAGCGGAGATCGATGCGACCGCGTACTGTCTGAATGCATGCTTTGCAGTATCCTCGTAATACACTTATTATTATACAGATTGGTCAAACTCTGTGGGCAGCCATAATTGTTTTTGTATTATTAGAGGACGCTTACGCGCGTAATCGTTTCGTACCCAGTGAAAATACCGCAAAATTGCGACACACTGTAACTTATGGCCTTACGGCCTTTACGGCCTTATCGCCTTTTACAGATGTAAAAAAAATACCAGTTAACACCATCTTAAAACCTTGTCTTTCTACTATGGGAATGAGGTTGGACACTGGAAACAGATGTATTCACCTGACAGCATCACGATAGCACATTAAATAAGGCCTGTGACTGGTCTGTTATATTAAAGTGCGGTGGTCGTCCTGCAGGCAGCGTGTGTTCAAATTTCATGTAAATAAACAATGTATTTTACACGCGTTGTATACGTCGCTATGAGTCCCATATCGAACATGATGTGGCACGACGACTGCCGCCCTTTAAATTGTGTGGGTACACTCCCCTGATACATTGTCACGTCCAGGTACCCCATAATTCCACACGCACTGAAGACGTAGAAATTTCCATTTTTCGATGATGTCACACCAGATTCAAAATTTTAAACAAAAATCCAAAGTTTGACATATTAAAAAATAGCCGCAAAATGCGTTACCACAGTTCAACTTGTGTTGGCAATACTGTAGACATTTCACAATGTCATTGCACCGGATTTGCTAAAAGAGTACACATGATGAATATGTGGTGTAAAGGTTCTTCATTGAGAACTAGAAACACATTGACCAATATTGTCGTTATACACACAGACACCAACACATGTTAAAATATCGTGTAATTAGATTATCGATAGAAATTTATTAATTAATAATTAATAAATTAAAAATGAAATGAAATAAAATAAAAACAAAATAATAAATTAGGAATTCGTTGGGTAAAAGACTGAGACTAATATACTTATTTTAACCAACCTATTTTAACCAAGCTATTTATAAGTTGTGGGATTTGTTTAATTAAAAAATATAAGGAATGGTAGGAATTACATCCAAGATGAAGAATCTTCCTCAGGATAAAAATAAACTACCATGTGGCAATGAATTAAGTTATTATTAAAAAGAAACAAGTATACTGGTATCAACATATTTATTAATGACATAGTTGCTAAGCAATTATGAATAATGTAATATATACATAGCTGGAAAATGATAGTTATATATGAACAAGTCAATTAGATTAAAAACTTTGAAAAACAAGAAATTTTCATCCAAATTGGTCATCTAATACGCAAGTTTTGTTTTTTTGTGTCTGAATACTAGTAACTAATAATTACTAATTGCTTTGAAATTTCAATTCACCAAAGTGAACTCAAGTTAATTGCATTTCTGAAAGATTTTCAAAAATGGAATATTAATATTGTGAAATTATAAAATCTTTCCTATCAATCAAAATTAAAGCTATTGTACAAGTTTGTTGTCTCAGTACTATATTTCTGGATTAAAAAACAAACTGAAGGGAAGACAATAACAATATCAACAATAACCACTGATTTTGAAGTCCAACAGCTTCACACTACTACTATCTCCAAACAGAATTAAATCACACAGAATTTGTATGACAAAAAATATTCAAATCAAGGGAATTCTATTTTTTACAAATAATTAGTCAATTAGTTGTTCTTGTTTCATAGGTTCGTGCGCAAAACCATACACTCCTACATTTTGGTCGTATTTTTAAAACTATGCGAAACACGGAGCCAAACAGCTTGAGCACACACTTGGTTAGTTTAGTGAGTATAAATCGAATCAAATCAAACAGTTTTATATTAAGTGCAATTACGAAGGCATTCAACTCTTGTCATACTTTAATGTGCGTTACATTTTCCGTTTTAAAGATAAATTTGTGTTGGAGCTAAAAATGGGACATTTGTCCGTCTCCACACAATAACTAAAACTGGTTACATTTTGAGAAGGCTTCGGTCTTCTGAATGATTTTCAAAATGCTTATCGAAATTTGTGTTACTTAACCGTCCGTTAAAATGGCATAGAACATAATGTGGTTCCTGTGACAAATACATACAAAGAAATGAATGTTTTACTATTTTTGTGCTGGTTTTTGGGATTATACATTTGCTCTCCAATGTAAGTAGTTTGCGATTAAATTGAGGTTGTGAACAACAAGGAGACCGAAATAAAATTATACTTACTTGATTACCGGAATAAAGATGAATCGTGTGTCGGCTTAAACGTAAGACTATTTTCATTATATATTATTTTCTAATTCACATTCTCTATTTAGTGATTTTGTTATTTAAACAACACAAAAGCTCAGTTTTCTAGCTATTAAACACCGGAGATATAATTTTCTATACAACACTATAGGGACAATCTGGTGTGAATTGTTCCTTTTGTTCATTGTCCACATGCTTCGCGAACTGTGATCAGTATTAAATTGTTTTCAGTTGACATTAAATATTATCAATAAAGGCTATTAAAGACATTTAGCGGTGTGTATTGGCACAGACAAATAATATTTTCTCCCGTTGTAAATGTGAAGCCATCCTTAAAAACGATCTTTATAAAACATCGCCACAATCACAATTGCCATTTCATCCCACTTGTACGTCTAAGAAGAGAATGGTGTCTGTTTTGACCGCGCACGGTTAGACATAGAGCGGAGAAGAATTCGTAAGTCATATATTTTTTATTTTGTCTGTTATACCAAAATGCATAAAGATAAAACAAAAGGTTATTTTTTGTCCTTAACAGACCAAATATACTTTACTGCCGTTCATTGGAAAGACGATTATATTCGTCGAGTTCAAACTGATGATATCAACCTAGCTAACCTTGTGACAACATGAAGCAAATCAAATCAAGTATTTTGTACACTATTCTGATTTTGAGTTCCTCGTTTCACTCTCGGGTAGAATCTTCGGTAAGCCTTGTTTACTTATATTTACTTATATTTACTTGTTTACTTATATTTACTTGTTTACTTATAAATGTTTAAGACACTGGACAATATATATATAGAGAGATAGAGAGAAAGAAAGAGAGATGAAAAGATACAACAGTTTCTTTAATCTAAAGAAGTTTCTAGTAACTTGTTTAAAACACTTCATTGCACGGTGTATCGATTGATCCTGCATACTTACTCTATTATAACTCGATGCTAATACGTAAGGGTTTTTCTTTTTTTCGGTATTTATTTTCGACAGACCATAAAACAAGGTGTGGGCCATTCGATTCAGAAACGAGCAACAAGTAAGTATTTTCGCGTCAAATAATTGTGATGACGACACGTTGTTTGTTACGACAATGTTCAATGCTACAGCTTAGTTTATGATTGTAGGTATGTGTGGTCAAGTTCAGACATTCACCCTTTCATCTGGGTCAACTGAAAATATTGCATCCCCCGGTCATCCCAATCCGTATCCTGCTGGCTGTACATATCAACATACTTTTAAAACCACCGAAGTAAATAAAGTCATCCAAATAAAGTTCACTGAGTATGACATGACCAATGACATTGATGGAAATGTTTGTTTTTACGCTTATTTAACGGTAAGTACAAAACAAACACGGCATCTTAGTAATTTTCATATTTTCCTAGTATTCATTCGTTTTGCAGCTATTTTGTCAACGTACTATTTTGGGTGTGCGACTCCAAAACTTTATAGTGCCATACCTCATTTGCATACACGGACAGCGTTCCTTGCATTCACTTTATTGCACCAATTAGCTCAATAATAGGGTAAATGAATTTAAAAATTTACACCCAATTTCATAGAACAAAGAAATATAAAGGTGGTTTCAAGCTCTTACTACATTAATTTTTTGGTGTTGCTGTGAGCATTTTGTTACAATGTACAATAAACCAGCGTCCCAATTCCTTTTCATTTATGCTTTAGGCTTCTAATTACAGACTGTCAAAATTGCCCAAGAGATTGTCGGGGACGTGACTTAAGTTGGTTGCTCGAAGCAAGAAAACAAAAAAAAACGAGACGCAGTCATTCGCGTGACTGAAAACGTGACAAATGTTGTTTTTAATAATCGGAATTGTCAATACAATAAAAACGAAATTGATCGTCAGGTAAATAAACATTAGTACGACATATGTACTACCAAATTCGCCTATATCCAAGCTTTCAGGTGATGTATAACTTGTTATAGTTGCAGTATTGTTATAGTAACTTTTGGAAAATCTTTCAATCAGAGCTGATTTTTTACTCACTCCCCTCCCCTGCTTCTACATAAAAAATTTTTGAAGTCGTCAATGTATTTACGGTTAGAGTGACAAAGAGTGGCGGAAAACAAATCCTGTATGTTTCCAATACAAGGTTGGAAAAATTAGAAAGAGTGGCGTTCACATATTTGACGCAAACGCGCTTTGAAGTCTTAAACTATCCGTATATTGCGGAACATTATAATTTACCGTCTTTCAATCTGTTATTACACCAGTGTTTTTGTACTATTTGAAAACGACCATTCAGAGACGTCGCAAATCATTGACTAATGAAATGTGTGTTGTTGCCTGCATTGTGTATGTTTTTTTTTGTTTTTTTTCTTTTGCGTAAAGTATTTGATATAAGAAATAGCATGGAATGTACACAATATATATAACAATAACTATCGGGATATGATTCTGAGTTTACTACACCATTGTTATAGTTCTAGCAAAGACAGCATACATTTCTCCAGTCACAGCCAAATACTAATGTTTTTATTTTTATTGTTGTATTGACAATGATAGTGTCATTGTGGTATGGTCAAATTGTGATTCTTTTGTCATTGTCTTTATGTTAGTTAAAAGATGTAGGATTTAGCAATGGACTCGATCAACATGTGACCCCATCAGCTCCTGATTTGAACAAGTGGTGGCTATTAACGTGTGTCAAGCTCGATATGAGCCAAGCCGACTATGGTACAAACACCTTTTTCAGCAACGAAGCCAGGTTGATATTCAATGTCGAGTCGAACGACCCTAATCCTGCCACCGGTTACAATGGAATAGTTACACTAAGAGGTAAACATATTCTCCGTCAATATTGTGTATAGTTTTCCACTAAAATAATTGATGACAAATAAATACGACGTTGATTACTATTTTTGTGTATGGCTGTGTTTAGTTCGCACTCATTTGTGACTTTGTTGGTGAAAATAGGGATGGATGTAGTTGCCAACTTGGTTCGTGCACACTAAATACGTACGGAGGTAAGCCTTCTCTAGTAAATTTATTTGTCATGTCTAGATAAAGTTCTACTCGATTTTGGCGATGTATTTGGAGATTCACTGATGTATGGAGGCATCGTAGAAGATAAATCGGTTTCATTGAATACTCCTAATTTCCAGTTTTATGGACAGACCTACAGCAGTATTTTTGTAAGTCCGAAAGAATCGTTATTTTTTCAAGTTTTGTTGAACGTTTATGTTAAGAGCATCTATCACAAATTGTATATTACTAGATGGTTATAGTTATGTTTCGTTGCCCGTTTAATCACAGTTTTTTTCATGTTACCTTATGAGATTGCATTTCACGTAAATATTTCAGTACATTAAATAAATAATTTAACGATTTCATTCATACGAATTCTTTATCAATAACTGTAAATCTTTGATGGTGACCTAAAATGCCTGTGCATCAATGATGAAGTGTTTCATAACAGTCATTTGGCACTTAAGTTTTTTGTCATAAAAAAGATATCTAGTTGCCATTTTTCGTTTTGTTGATATCTCGTCCATTATACGAACAGGTGGTACCCCAATGTAAAAGCTGCGTAATTACGTGAACAGAGTCAGCTGAAAAGATGCATTAGACAGCATGTTAAGACGTTTGAACATATATCAACTAGTTAATTAACGTACCTGTATCTTAGATAGTGTACATATATTCTGAAATCGTAGATGTATAAACACAGTTTTATAACATTGATAGTATTACTTTACTTAAAACATCAATACGGAGTGACCATCATTTTTGTGTTAATGACATATAATAGTTTACACAAAATTACTAATTATTAAATACTACTAGTGTGGGTTTTATATGGGCTTTCAGTATACTGACGAATTATCGAATTATGTTAATACTGGAACATTTGTCGAGAATAAATTAATTTGATAGTTTAATAGTTTAAATTGTTTTACTTCTATTTTGATGACTCGTCATATCGTTACTATTGTGTTTGATATTACTGTGTGCATGTGCATAATAGTAAACGACTCGTACGTTTCAATGATTTCACTGATGTCACAAATTAATCATGCCACAATGGGTAGATCTACGTATATATCTAGCACAACTTGAGTTAAAAAGCAAGAAACTGTTCAACGTTGTTCACTTTGCTTTCAGACACTACAACCTCTATTTTTGATGGCCCGGGGCGTGGTTAACATCATTTTGCGTAAGAAGCAAATGCCTAGTTTAGATATGCGAAATTCAGGTTTATTTTCTAGTAGGAATATATATATATATATATATTATTTAAAAATACACTAATCATGCATAAGAATGTGCATACCATGTATCATTGCGTGTTGTGTTTATATTTCTTCGCAGATTAGCGAGAATGGGGTAATATCGTTTGATCAGCCTTTTGTAGACAACCAAGGATTCGGATTAGAAAATTTACAACCACTCGACCAGTACACCCACCCTCTTATTGCACCGTACAAAGCCGATGCATCAGTGCAAAGAGGGGATGACGGTCAAGTGTTTTATCGCATTGAGGAAAACGAATTGGACGACATAAACACTATAATCGAAGAAGCCTTCTGTAATGAATTTGATGGTGATTTTGCTATTATTGTGACATATTTTAGAATGCCGTTCTTTTCTTCTCAGTTGGATGGTCTACGACTGGTGAGAAACATACACCGAATTATAATTACATCATATATGTATTGTTTACTGATTGTGTTTGTCAGAGTCGATTCATCTAATGAGAAACTTCGAGTAATTTCAAGCATGCTTAACTATTTTTGCATCTCGATAAAATAACAATGCTGTATGATTAATTTTCAAATAATAACGTTGGTTTAACTGTAAAATATAGATGAAATACTGAAAACATACGCTTTAAATTACCTGTACGCATGCGCATTTTGCGTTTTCATTAAATCAAATGTATACTGCGATATTTGTTGCCAAAACATTGTTTTTATTTTACGTAACCGATATTTTTCTATTTCTACAGCGTAATTCCTATCAAGTAATTATCGTTGGTCAGCATGGCGGTGACACCTATATCATTTATAACTTTCATGAGGTCACGTGGTATAGTGGCGGAGGCAACAGTGGAGGAAATATACACACTGGCCAGGGCGGACAGCCAGCAATGGTACGACTGTAACATTAGTTATAATTATGAGTCAAACATAACACATTCATTGCGTTAATATTATACTTTAGTTTTAATTGGATGCGTTTTAATGATTTCTATACTCATGAAATATCCGAGCAGCCTGCTTTCGTCGAAGTATAGCGTCCAATAGAAAATACCACGATGATCAGTCATATTCGGTCCAGCGAAAAAGTATGAAAGTGCGCCCTATTTTGCAATTCCACATCCCGTCGTTTATTGCCATATGATGCGTCCACCGCGCGATTACAACGATTTTCATTGTCAGATGTAAATCCCTAAAATTCCTACTGCAATTACGTCAGAATTACTCACCAGGCAGGAATGCCATGGAAAGTAGCACGTGAGTGCACCTTAAACGGACATTCCGATGATTTTCTTGTGTTTACGTTTGGTCATTTGTTAAAATAAAGGCTACCTATATCAGCACGTAAGCATATAAACCGAAAAATCAACACATTCTATTACTCTGCGATTGATATTGTGTGTGGTATTTCTATTTGCACACATACATAGGCTGGTTTTACTGATGGTTTGGGCTCTTCTTTTGAACTACCATACTCGGGAACAAACGATGTTATACGAATTGATGATGAATCCAACGTTGGCATGGCAGGAAGATATGTTTTTCGTGTGAACGGTGCATCGATAGTAGAGCCCGGTGAGTCCAAGTTTAAGTGAATATTTTTGTTTGTTTGTTTTTGATTGTATTATCAAAGGTAGAGGCACAGGTGAAAACCTGACGGTCAGTATGTCCATTGTGTATACTAATAATTCTTTGACTATCCGACTTATAAAAACACCCTTTTAGAACAATGACAGTCAAGTGAATGACAGTAAGTTTCACAAGCTGTTGGTTACGCTGTAGGCTAGAGGGTTGCGTACGAGAAAATAACTACAGACTTACTACCGAAAATTCGTTGTTGATAACATGTCGTTATTTGACCGTAGCTCAAAAACAAAAGTGAAACGGAGATGCAATCATTTAGCCAACAGCTTTACCAACGCCCTGTACAGATCATCGAGTAATTACAAATGTGAATAAGACGGAATAGTAAAAAAGGCGAAACAGCAAATATGGCCGTCAGGTACTCTTTTAGACAAACATTGATACTGCATATGCTCTACCGTATTTGTTCATTTCTAGGTTTGCAAATGATGTACTGGTTACATGTAGTAGCATGCTTAGCCAAATTTAGATCAGATCAATGTTTAACTTGTTTTGGTCTTGTTGTTTCCTTAATTTATTTCAACTTTATTCATCAAGTAGATCTTTCATAGGACTTTCTTTAATTTTGGGGTATCTTCCAGTAAACCCGTGATAACCCGCTACCCATTGCTCGAAGGATAATGTTTTTGCTTGTGTTCGTACATTGAGGGCGGTATCACCATACGACACGGCCAGTTTTACGTCTCCTCCGACTGGAAGCAAAATTCTCAGCATTGAATGCCACGAGCATTGTCAGTTTGTACTTTTTGATTTCTGGTAGACCGGCAGCCGACGACGACAATCTTACTTTAAAACGGGACGGACAAGCTGCACTATTGAATCGCGCATCGGGTATTTCAACGGAGATGAACTGCAGGATTGTCATTATGATTGTGTATTGAACTAAAATGCCGAGCAATAAGAATTTCGTGCACGTAATAAATGTCAATAGTTATTTCACTCATTCCCGTACGTCAACGTAAAACTAGTAACGGCTACTGGTATCCACTAATAATCGATCTCACTGAGCAGATTTAATGAGTCAATTTAGTGAGCGGTGAAACTGTCTGATTTTCAGTAAACGCGGACAGACTCTTACAACCAGCTTTCTAGTAAATACGAAGAGTTTTCAGCAATAACACATCCGGATTCCAGTAAACGCAAATATAAAAACTATATCGAGACAAAGGAGCACAGTTAGAACTATGGGTACTTGTAAATATAAATACTTCATTTAGATAATTTTTTGTCACAATTCAAGTCACTGCCATAATTTCGATTGTCTGAGACGAGAGTAAGTATATGATTTGGTATATATGGCTAGCAGCTAACAGAAAGTTTCGCCAACTACTACCCCCCCCCATTTTTACAAAAATCAGATAGTTAGTTTCTCTGTTGTAAACTGTCTATGCTTACTCATAACTAGGCCAGTTTCAGCGATTGTTCTGACATGATAAAAGGAACGTTATGGTTAATGATTTCAATTCCACCGATAGAATAGACAATATACATTAGGCATATATTTATTCGGAGATTTGCCGATATAAAACGTACAGTTAAGTTAAATCTCTTCGACCCGTTAAAATTCGTTTTAATTCGTTAACTTGTTGCCTCGTGTGAAATTACGGCTCTATAAAAACAATATGACATTGTCACTACCTTGAGAATCTGATAGCGTATGGTTTGTATTTATAATATTAAATTTGGTATTTTATGTCTAAACTAACTGTATGTTATCATATATTCCACAGACTCACCCACTTCCCCAATACTGACATGCCCATCATCACCTGCACCGGTTCTTAACTGCGGATCCGGTGAATTCATTCCGGCAACAGTCGCGTGGAGTGACCCAACGACCGTTACCTGCCTACCCCTCACATCACCAATATCATGTACACCATCAAGTCCGCATACATTCACAGCAACCACGACCGTAAGTTGCTCAGCTTCCAACGCCGTTGGAGAGGGCACGTGTACGTTTGACGTCCTAGTCAATCAAGGTAATACTTGCAATATTCACTGTGTTCGGGAAAGCGGGACGGGACGGGAAGTGAACCGTTTAAGTACAATTAAATCGGTTATTTCAGACAATGGATATATAACACAACATTCTGTGGCGAGATGTTAATAAGCACAGAAATAAAAAAGCCATCAATTATTGTTATTATAAATTATATCGGCAGGGGAACTTTCATCAACATGTTCAACTAACTAAAAACAGATGTATTCCGTTTTTTTGTCTTGTTGTCATACAACGTAAATGTAAGCACACGCATCAAAGGACACTTTCAATTATTATAACATAATCTCTGTGTGTTCCAAAAAAAAAACAGATACTACAGCTCCTACAATCATCTGCACGGAAGATATTACCACTCAATCAAACAATCCCTTGGGAACCCAAGTCGCTTATTCCCCGCCAATGTCGGAAGACGAATGTGGCGTATATACGAGCTGCGATCTTCCATCGAATTCGCTATTCCCATGCGGGGAAAACACTGTAACCTGTACATCAATGGATAATGTTGGAAATCAGAATTCATGCTCCTTTAAAATCACTGTAAACTGTCAACGTACGTAAACACTTTACGATATTTTATTATGTTATGTTATTATACTGAAAACAAGTATGCTGACTCGGTCCCTCTCCAACTTTTGTTTCGTGGGTTGGCCAAGTATTTCCGTGATTACTCTGTTCTGTTATATGTGTTGAAAATTTAAAATCAATACTGCAATTCTGACAAAGACTTTCAATTAAAAAAGTTTGGGAAAGAACATTTTATGTTTAAGCAATGTTCTACAAACATAAATGTTTTAAATTAATTAATGTTTATTATTAAAATTCCTTTTTTACAGAATTACAGCTTACCAACTGTCCATCAAACATAGACGTGGTTGACAGCATGCCTTACGGAGAAGCTGTTAACTGGGATCCCCCAACTGCTTCTGGTCATACCAGTCTTACCAGTAACTACGAACCAGGCCACGTATTTTTTGGTGGTACATTTGATGTTGTGTACATCGCTACCGACGCTGCAGGAAATGAGTTGCAGTGTACATTCACGATTACTGTTGGTGAGTATTCCAACTCGCTATAACATTGGCACCAAACTTATTAGAGACGCTCTTAATGGTCGATATTGTTTTGAGAAAAAATATATTCTTTGTATATAAAGCATGTCGAAATCAATCCTTATCTAGAACCTCGTCTAATTGTTTCAATACTCTATTGTAAATATTCTTCACAATATCCCTCACTACAGAATCAGACGTGTATGGACCAGTCTCTTCTCTGTGTAGGAAGTATATATTAGACACAACATCCAAAACATGGAATGAATCGGACACATCATGTCAGTCTAGCGGTGGTAATCTTGCTCGAATCGTTGGCCGAAAAACGAATAATTTTCTAATCACATCGATCCAAGATCAAGGTATGAACCCTTCTGATATCTGGTTCGGAGCTCATCGTGTCGAATCGTCGTGGTTGTATCCGGACGATAGCCCTGTCTGTTATTCAAACTGGGCTTCCGGGGAAGACCAGGATGGAGATACTTGTGCACAATTATGGTTAGTATGACCTGCACTTTAGGCATGATTCTAATTTTAACAGAACACAAAAAAGTTATAAAAGAATAAAATCATTTATATAACATATTCTGTGTATTAACAAAACCCATTCAATGCGATGTTTGGTCCATAAGAAAAGTTCATATCTATAAAACTAACCGACATTCATATTATTAGTAACACTGATAGCTTTCTAAATAATTATAAATAATATATAACAGTGATATACAATATGTATATATAATAGTATAATATGATTTGTTCAATTTACTTCATAGGGCACAGCCATCGGGCAAATGGACTTCAGAAGACTGTAGTCTAACAAAACGTTCCATTTGTGAATTGTAAGTGTTGTTATTTCATTTATTGGTGTTGAGTTGCAATTTGATTATCATTTGATGTATTGTTATACTGAAAGTCCAATATAAAAATCATGTACATCAGCCGACTGTGGGCACCACGTATCCGGTGTGCAATTGAATTCATACTATTTCATATTTTAGTGATAGTTAGATATACCGCGAAACTACAGGAATTTATTTAGAAGACTAATTTGGTAGGGAAGTGTATATGGCATCTGTGTCGTGTTGTCATTATTATGGATTAATATTGATAATGAAGTCACCTGATTTTTGTGTGAAAATAGTCAGAAATGTCATAGAAAATGGCACAAATTTGCATCTTTCAATTCTACTTTTTAGTATGGGATTAAAGGATATTCTTTATTTTTTATATCACGCTAAATATTGTTAACACATTTTCCATTTTATAGAATGGATACTTCTCTCCCACAATGTACTGCGTAAATTCTCAGTAACATGCTCAGTTGATGCATCTTGACATATATATTACTAGTAGTAAATAAGTCCCTCTCTGACTAGTAACTACGTTATGCTTATCGGTTTTGATCAATATACCGATGTAACACCAGTGGTTGTTATAATTGCCCTTTGATATGTATATGCGTGGAACTGGCAGTTATCTATTTCTTTGTGCGTACTTTATTGATCTTCTTACATTGATGAGTTTATTTACAGGGCCTAGGAACTATAATATCGAGATGGTAAGATGCCACGAATACACCCACATATCGTGTTACGACATTTATCAAAAATACTTGTTTTTGGATTTGCTCTGTATGTGACACAGTTCAATGGTTGTGAGAGTAATAACAAATGACGTCATTGAGCAGTGTGAAAAGAAGTTTGAAGACATTATAACTATTATTGTTTGAACATATATTTATATCTTTCGTCAAATCAATTAAATCAAGTCAATTAAGGTTTGACTAAAACCACTGTGTGTTTATTATTTGAATGCTAATTTATAGTTCCGTGAATGACCTTCAGTGATGCTTAATAACCGAGCTTATTACGTGCAGAGAACATGAAACCCGTCCACGCGAACTGGGCCACACAGCGTGGCCAGAATGCGGCAAAGGCCTTCAGATCTGGCTGTAGTAGGATGGTGAAAGTAATGGTACAGCATTTGTAACAGTGAATAAGTACTGAGAAATAATTTTAAACTTATAGTTGCTGTCGACATAGGAAGTAAAGCAAGCAAATAACACCGAATAAACGGCAAGGTAAAGACTATGTCTAATTATAGTAAACACGTACTGCGTGCGTGACTCGAATCGGCGCTCGCGTACGGCACCTAATCGCCTAGCTTCACGCCACTACACGCCTTCCCCTCGGCCACCGGGCATCCCCAAAAAAATGATGCTTAATAACCGAGCTTATTACGTGCAGAGAACATGAAACCCGTCCACGCGACCCGGGCCACACAGCGTGTATATTCATCTGTTTAAATAATAATACAATTTATATTTATATGTGTGAATAACCACACATAGTATAATCATCTGTTTAAATAATAATAATAATACACTTTATATTTGCATGTGTGAATAACCACCCATAGTATATACATCTGTTTAAATATTACAATATATAATTACATGTGTAGATAACCACCCATAGTACATTCATCTGTTTAAATACTTGTACAATTTATACTTACATGTGTGAATAACCACCCATAGTATTTTCATCTGTTTAAATAATAATGCAATTTATATTTACATGTGTAGATAACCACCCATAGTATATTCATCTGATTAAATAATAATACAATTTATAATTACATGTGTCAATAACCACCCATAGTATATTCATCTGTTTAAATACTTATACAATTTATACTTACATGTGTGAATAACCACCCAAAGTATATTCATTTTTTTAAATAATAATACAATTTATATTTGCATGTGTGAATAACCACACATAGTATATTCATCTGTTTAAATAATAATGCAATTTATATTTGCATGTGCAGATAACCACCCATAGTATATTCATCTGTTTAAATAATAATACAATTTATATTTGCATGTGCAGATAACCACCCATAATATATTCATCTGTTTAAATAATAATACAATTTATATTTGCATGTGCAGATAACCACCCATAGTATAGTCATATGTTTGAATAAAAATACGACCGCCACGGTTGGTTTTAGATCTTCCCCGTCCTCGAGGCATGTTGAAACTGGATGTCGTGAAGAAAGACTGGTATTTGTGACAAATGAATGGCTGAAATGCTTTAGCAAGGAATTCCGCTGAGACGATGTGTATCGTACGGTGCGGCAAAACGAACTGATGCTTGAAGAGGATGCGAGCACAGATAAGCGAATGAACAGTCTGGCGTTAATTAATGTAAATCCGTCTTGAAGGACGAAATGTGAGCAAATATTGCATGAAGTACAATGTGGCATGGGAGGTGTCAAAATATGAAAGGGGGATACCAGCTTGGTCAATGCATGTCATAATTGAGCATTAACACAGATTATAAATTATATTCATAATCATACTATTAATGCTTCAATAAATGACACAAGACACAAGGTTTTGGCAAAAGTGGAATGGGGAGCGAATTGCTGACGCGGGCGTCGCAGCGAACAGCTCCATGATGCGACTCGCCTGTGAATTGCATCATGACGCTGAGCGCGTGGTACCTGGTTGCAACGTTCCACCAGCAGAGACTGTACAGGCGGGCGTCATGGCTGGCGTCCCCCTGGCGGAAGCCTGCAGATAGACTCACAACCCCAGGAGGATGGACAGCGTGGGTACCTGTGTAAAGTCTGCTTGGTCTGTGGTGGAAACCGCCAAATTTAAAGGCAGGATGATGTGTTGCGGGAGATGGGCTTTACACGAAGAGTAAAACTAACTGATAATTTACCCAAAAAAAACAAATTGAAAAACTTGCACAGCAACATAACGAGCATACTGTAAATAAGGAAAAGAAGCACGCTAAAGAGACCGATAAAATTACAAAGTCTGTCGCAATAAGTTAAAACAAAGCATGGTTAGACCGATAAAACATTAAACTAAATACACTGCAAATAACGTAGCGAAAACGAAATGAAATTTCAAAACAAATGATGAAGATACAGTAAAAAGAAGAGCAGTCAGCAATGGACAAGTGACCCGGACCTGATCGGATAATACTGGGGGGTGTGCTAATGTAGGTCTGGTAGGCGTCGCTGCGCCTTGATCAACCAGTTCGGGAGATTTGCGTCGGCAGCTGTCGTGGCTGCACCACTGCGGAAACTGTGAGTAGTGTTAACATCTGGCACAGATGCGTGAGTGAGAAGGTCTTGAAGGTGGTTGCTAACAGCTTGCCGCGTGAGTAAAGTACTGTTGGCGAACTGGAATGCAGGTAGGTGAGCGACGGAACTATGTAGTGCTTTGTACGCCTGGTATGCCTGCACAGCGCAGACCGATGACTGTGAGGGTGCGATGATGATGTTACATCCCCGGCGGAATGGGTCTGCCTTAGAAGCCTTGAGCACAATGACGAGGTCTGTGTTGCAAGTGATGTCTGCCGTCAGTAAAGTGCATTGTGGGTCGAAGATGGTGACGCGGGTGCGAC